ACAGCCAGGTGAGCGGCTAATTTGTCTCCTTTGCTTCTCCTCCTCCAAACGCCACGCCCATAGCAATCCCAGGCGTTGTCCTCTAGGAACGGCAGTCCGGAGCTATCACCTGCGCTAATACTAAACACTGCTTAACTCTAAACATTTCAAAATCTTATCTTCTATTGCCTCAGATTAACACCGTTATCCAGCAGCTAGCAGGCTTAGCTCCTACCCTATCATGCGCTATGAATCTTGTGTAAACCGAAAAAACATTTACAGTCACTGAGTAACACATATCTATTTGTCACTTCGTCTTCTTTTCTTCTTTATGTCTTCTTAACTATTCTTTTTCGTTTATTGAGCCCATGTTTGACGTGCTTTCAGTTCAAATCCTAACAAATGCTGCTAGGATATCCATCTTTCGGCTTTTTGCCCTTTCGTGAAAAAGCGCGCTTTTTCGATGTGACAAAAAACAAAATCACGTACAAAACAGCATTTGGGATGTCGCTGAACCTTGGAAAAATACACTCGCATAGTTAATATATGCAAAAAATCATTCATATTGGTTCACAGGACAGCTTTTGTTAAGACTTTTTATGCAATCTTCAAATGTTTGTATTTTGAACCATATATGGAACAAGAGCAAATATTTGAATAAGATACTTTCTGCTACTTTTTCCCAAATTTACAAGGAGAAGATCTTTCTAGTATTTTGAAAAATTAAGAATTGATATGCACTTTTTTATCTCATTGGAAAAAATCATGTTTGCTCAAAAAGATCACACAATCTCTCTAATGATTGTATTGTTTTTAGACTTACATCTACCGTTTCTGCCTACTTTTGCCTTTACTGCATTCCCAATTAACGTTTTTGAAACGCTGCGGATAGCACTGAATCGACAGAGGGAGCTGTAATGACGCACGTTTCTCCTTTTTCATCTTTCCATTTCTCTCTTTTTCTATTTATAGTTACCATGGGAACTGCGATTAAAAGATTTCACGACTTGAGTATACATCTAGATTGTGTCTATCTTAGGCTGAACAGCCTGTTCGTCTACTAGCTTCTCTACTTCACTTTTTTATATAATTTGAGCTGGATGAGGCGAGCTTTGCTTCTAGCTGCCAGGGAAACCAAACATATTCTAGTGCCATTTCGGGTGCACACCCCGCTATAGTTGGACTTAACGACTTGTCACGATGTACACAGTAGTTCGTACAGACACTGTCGAATGTGGCAATCAGAAGATCGTAAACGGGGACCCCCGTATTGACCAGGGTGACCAGCAAATACCCGAGCCTGTGTGCGCTGCGATTGTTTCTGTCTTTGTGTGCGTGTGTGTGTGGATCGCCCTCCTCAACAGCATGCACTCAGTTCGCGCGTCATGGGCATCGTCGTTTTATTTGCGTTTTCGGCATGCGATTTCGAGGTCGTCGCAACATCATTTTGACATCTGCGACAGTATGTCGTTTGTGAATTATTGCATAGGTGATATAGCTCAATAATTTGATTTAGTGTAAGTAAAATTTTAAAGAAATTCATGTAT